TTTTTTTTTTTTTTTTTTTTTTTTTTTTTTTTTTTTTTTTTTTTTTTTTTTTTTTTTTTTTTTTTTTTTTTTTCACTAAATGTTGGGTGAGAGGCTAAATTAACTTTGTAAAGAGAGAAAAGCAAAAGCAAGATGGTTATTGATAGAGAAATTGAAATGAAACGTGGTTGATTCGTACGAGGAGGAAGTGTATAGGAAATCTTGAAGGGAATCTGAAGCTCTTGATGAGCATTGTTTTTGTGATTGAATTTTGTAAGAATGAAGAAGAAGAAGAATAATAAAGAAAGGATTCGTAAAGTGGTTGACTTTGGGATTTGTTTTGACAGGAGATCAGGCAATATGCAGCAGAAGGGAGGAGAAGGACTAGTTGGGATTTTGCTGCGAACTCTAACAAATATCTCGTTGGATATACTGGTGTCGCACGGCGTCGACATCACCCACCATTTGCACCAAGCTGTGAGAGTTTGTTTGTTACCCTTTCGTTCAACACTTCACATTCATTTTGCGCTTTCATGTCTCATCCTAATCATATCTCTCTCTACTTTTTTGAACAGTACTCAAATCCTTCATATCTCATCTCTTTTTCAGATATGAAAAATCCATCATACCTATCAAAAACTACAGATACTTTAACATATATTTGGTAGACATCAAGTGTAAATACAAAACACTTTAACTACTTGAAAAACCAAAACTAATAGTTAATGTTTTCATCGATAGTGGCAAAAATGGGTGTTTAAGTGGCAAGAGGATGGAGATGTGCACAAGGAAGAGGCAGAGTTATTGGTGCAGACAATAATTCTCAACTCAGGCTGTTCAACTTTGGAGGATCTGTTGTCCAATTCTCAATTTCAGAAGCTTTCCAACCTCACAAACAAAGTGTGCCATCAACTTGCTCACTTTAAAAAGCATAAGGTTAGTGTTTCATCCAGAGGTACAATCCATTCCACCCCACACAATCATGATAAAAACATTATATGCCACCTTAATCTTTGTTGTCCTTGTAAAACACTGAAACATAGATTCTTTACCTGACCTGACCTTTGTTTCATTAATCAGCTAAATAACGGTGGCCTCTATAAGGAGAAAACAGACAACAAAATGCCCCCAGAGATAGAAGAAGACATAAGGAAACTTGCGCAGCTGGTGATCCAAAAATCTTCGGATGGCAATGACATTGACTCACCAATTAAGCAAACATTTCTAACAGTAGCAAAAAGTGTGTACTATGCAGCTTATTTCGATGCTTGGACTATCAACTACCACATAGCCAAGGTCCTATTTGAAAGAGTGTTCTAATCCCAGCTACCCACACACCCATGTTGTATTGTCAAATTTTGTATATTCTTCACCACATGGGACACAAAAACTTTGGTCTGTGTTTCTTCTGTCAATAAAAAGACATCATCTTTAAAACCCAAATCATTGCCACTTCGACAGTGATCAAAAGTGAGACAACTCGACCTTTCGATTTCGATTTCCTTCTAATCAATGGCCTAGTAGTTAACAGGATAAGATAGAGTGTAGGTGGCAGTATATATGGTAGTGATGTGTTTCGCAAACCACATAGAAACGTTTGGAAGGGAATTTCTTTGAATCTTAGTGTTGTAATAGTTCTTGCTGTTTACGGTCTACCTTATGAAACAATGGCAGACAACGTGACATACATACATGTGAAGTGTTTGGATTAAGTGGAGTTTCTCAAAACCTAATATATATATAAAAATATATATTTTCCCCAAGATCAGGCTACCAGAGCATCCACAAATGCTTGCTACTTCCTCCTAACCTTCTTTCCTTTTAGTGTTAAGAAAATTCAAAAGCTAGGTTGTTCGACTAAAATCACCTTATCAACTCTGATATCAAATAAAGGAGAAAGATTGGCTCCAATTTCCTTTCATCCTAATCAAATCAAATCACCCAAAAGTTCAATATGTCAAGTCAAATTCATTTAAAGTTTGTTAATACATCTATGGAGTAACTGTGGGATCTGGTGCAACTTTATTCCCACCCTCCCTATCGAATCTGTTCTCCCCATAGTGCTCATTAAGCACATTGATCGGGACACATGGATTGGTACGTATCAACTAAAGTCAATTACTCAAGTTCAAACATTGCAAATCGGGAGGTTGATATGATTGGTTCGATTATTCGATTTCTATTTCAGATGATGACGATGACGATGGTGTAATCACAAACCTATACACTGTTATTATCATTTCATATAAGAACCTTATCTACATTAAATTTTTGGCTTCTCAAGTGTGACTAAAGACAACAAAATCTAGTTTTGGGCTTGTCTAGATATCATAAATCATGCACAAATCTCTACATTTTACACTAAAAGAATGAAGAAGTACCTGTTTTAACGTTCAGATTGGCAAATCAGAAATTGTATACGTAACTCTTTTCCACAAAATGCTTGAAGAAACAACAGAAAGAACGTAAGAATGCAATGTCGCCAAGAACAAAATCAGTGGATTCGATAAGCACTGACCAGTGGACATGGCATTGGGAGGCATGTGAAGCCCACCCAGAGCCCTTCATGCTTAATGAAGCAGAGGGGACATGGAAGAAGACAAACAAATAGACAGAGACCTGATCTGACGCGAATTTGAGTTCATAACCGCATTATGATTGTGGCCTCGATTCTTCACTCTCCCAATCTGATGTGCCTCCCGAAACATGCATCTTGTTTCCTTCTTGTGAATACGACATTCATAACCCTCTAGGCAGACCAATGGATGCCTTTTCTTCGAGTCTTGTCCACATTTCCTTGTTTTCTTTTGAACTCTCTCTATTTACCAATTTAATAAAAAGTTGATCCTGTTCCGTGAATGTTAGGTCATGGACTCGGGGTTAAGTTGGATGCATGTGAGCTTTGTCGAAGAGCGTTCGAGCCCAACAAGGACCTTGGGCTCAGTCCTTGTGAAGAAACCTGTGCGCTTGTCGTTTAATATGAAAGCCCAACATCTTAATTCTTACCCAACAGCTGGATGCCTCCATATTAGCACACTACTTGGAAGTTGGAAAGCCCAAATCCACGGGAGCTGTTTCTCAAGCCCCTCTTGCTTGCAGCTCCTCTACAATCCTACCATTTTCCTTCAACTCAATGCCTGCATTTTTTTTTCTTTCTTGAACATGGTGGGTCAGTCTTAAGTAATGATGGATTCATTGCTCATTTAGAATGTGTTGTTCGACACATCACCTGTTGCCTTCTGCTTCTGTCCTCTTAACATGTGCTGATATAGTTTACGACGATCATGTTTTTCTCTCCACATTTCTGCTCATGATCGACATGCATCTGTAGAGAATTCCCCTGATTGCCAAAATTAGTATAATCTATGAACCTAAAATACTGTTCTTAAATTTCTATAACTACAGCCTCCATTACAGAATTGCTTGAATGTTCAGCTAGAATCATTCCTACAAAGATGAGTCTTTCGTGCTTTATCCTTTAGTATAGAAGGTTGTACAGTATATATAAACAGGATTACTTCTAAACGTTTACGCTATATCTTTCCATTACCCAATTTATACCGATCGTTACTGGGATTTTACAATATTCAGAATGGTGCTTTCGTAATTTTCATGAAATGGAGTGCCAAATGTCACTAAATGAGGGAGAGCACGCCAGCGTGATGCTTGGATAGGATATTTAAATGCAGCTCAGATACCGTTTCACATCCGTGGATTCTGGTTCAAACCCTCCTGACTGCTCGATCGCCGTGGCACCACTCTAATCCGATCGTTACTGGTAGAGCTTGTTGACAAAGAATTCCAGTCTAAATCTTCTTTACCGCTCATCTTTATCTTCTATAGATCTTAATCCTACGGAAGAACTTCCTCGATATTTCGGGTGCGTTAATCTCTCACTCTCTTCTTGAAATGGTTGAACGAAGTGACGCTTGCTAGCTTAGCTATGCGAGTCTTCGAGTCTGAGCTTGGTTATTTTTTTCTTTTTTGGGTTGCGATTGAACAAGTCTTTCCCTGCAATTTGTGAACTTTTTTGCTAGATCTGATTAGAAAAAGAAAAATCTGAATTGTTTTATATTTATTTTTTGTTTTTCAGCTAAGCTGGTTGCTCTTGTCGAGGTTCGATTTGGATCTAGCGTGGAAGAGATAAAGTAGGCCTGTTTAAAAGGTTGAGACTTTTAGTATAGCTATCAGCTTTGTGTTGAGTTGTAGAAGTTTGATCTACTGGGAGAAGCTGAAATTGGAACTTAAATTTGGATACATACTTTGAGTTGGAAATTTTATTTTGGTATGGAAGCAGTGGTCGTTGTTGAGCAGCAGCATAGGAACCAATATTATGGTGCTCCATTTGGGTCATTCCCGTCCCGAGACTTCAGAGGGGTGAACTGTAGGAGTTTCCAATCTGGAGCTGGTATACTCCCAACTCCCTCCAAGGCTTCTACCTCTGAAACTAAACACTTCTACCCTTCTTCTCCAAAAACACCACTAACTTGTTTAAGTTCCAACTCCGGAAATGCTAAATCTGGAGCTACTGTGCCAACTGCTCCAATTCCTATCAAACCCAAATTTTTAAACAACAACATTGTTCTCCATGAAGAATTCTATGATCCAAGTTTCTCGTTCTCTGAGCTTTGGGCTGGACCCACTTATTCAAATTCTCCGCCTCCAAGTTCGTTATCCATTCCCAAATTTTCAGTTGCTAAGAGAACCACGTCTCAGGAGATCCCTCGTTCTGCCCCTGAATTTGATTTGCATCACCCATCTGCCAAGTCTGCACCACCATCCCCAACTCGAGACCAAAACTTTTCCCCCAGATTTTTCTTTCATAATGATGACTCTGCGACTAAGACTCTACGTCGCATTCTTCATCTTGATGTTGACAATGAATGAACTTCAGGGAGCATCAAGCTTCTGTAAATAGGCTTACTTTTGAGCTGGTTGGTGTTATGTATATAGAACGACTAAGTTGGTTAGTGGTGACAGTCATGAGTATCCTCAGTTTTCCGTGCTGTTGGACATACTTCGATCGCAGGAACAACCAATAGTTAGATGCTGCACCTTAATCCGTGCTTAGATGCTGAACTGGATTTGGTTTGGCAGACAGAGACAAGATAGGGCGCGATAGCAACACAGATTAAATCAAGATATTCAGAAGGCAGAAGTAGGGTGTTGGTGAACTTTTTAATCTCTGTTCTGGCCATCATCTCCCAACCACATTCCAGTCTCTATTCCATTCTGTAATTTGTATCATACTGTAGGATCCCAAACTAATGCTTCATTGAAGTTCTGTAGGCTTCTATTTCATTCTTTTTATCCATTCCTTCCTTACATCCTCGGCTTCTATTTCATTCTTTTCATCCATTCCTTCCTTACATCCTCGGTTCTTGTTGGTTAGGTTCTTTGGCCTCATGGGTTGGTTTTTCGACACTTCAGTCTCTCCTTTTCTTTTACTCATACCTCCTCTAATCATCTTATAGCTTTTCACTCCTTTGCCTGCGGACTGTGAGGGAGATATTCCTTCTTTACTGCCTTTTCAGTTTTTTTGTAAGACAAGGCGGGGTTCGGATACTAGTTTGCTTCTTCGCAATTACTCCATGTAGCACTTTTCTGTTTCAGTACCTCTTGGATTTGTCATCTGTGTTCCTGTCTAGTATGGAACTTTCTTATTGGTTTTTGCAAGGTTCGTCTTCCTTCTTGAATATCATTGACCACATGGAGCGGCATATGAGGTAACTCTTTTGTACTGTTAACTTGCTCTATTCGATATTGTGAATGTTTGCTGAATCACCACACCTAAATGGTGTAAAAGTTATCTTATTTATAATCAAATAAATTACAAGGATATGGAAATAGTAATAAATGGAAATAACAATAAATGGAAAGATACTATAGTAATAAGGCAAATGTTAGATATTTGCCTTATAATAAAATATCAAATATAATATATATGGTAAACTATAATTTATTACTAAATATCCTTAACACCCCACCGCAAGCTAAGCGTCGGATTTAAACGAACGTGAAGCTTGAATCTGAAAAATTCAAAGAGGTTGAGAAACACTTTTCGTGAAGATGTTAACAACCTGGTTCAGAGGAGGCGTAGAGAAACACTTTCTTGGCCATCGAAAACTGCGGAGAGATCGCCGCTCAGCGGCGATGCTGCCTTGGCTTCGGTGAGAATATGTCTAACCCATGAAGAGGGATTGTCGTTTAGCGACGATGCTGACTTGGCTCTGGTGAGAATATGTCTAACCCCAAGAAGTAGAAGGGGAAACCTAGAGCAAGGGACAAAGACAATGTTGAAGCCGGAAGAGTCGCCACATTGGGCGAATGAGCCAATTTTGGCGAGAAGGGCAGCTGGAAGAGTCGCCACATTGGGGCGAAGGAGCCAATTTTGGCGAGAAGGGCGGCGGCAACTTGGTTGGCGAAGATGCCAGTGCGGCGCCCAGATTCCAAAGGTAAATCTCTGCAGAAGGTCGATGGGCTTATTGAGATTCTGTATATTTTCAAAGAGGAATGCTAATGAAGATCCTAAGATTAGGGTTTTTGTGAAGGATGAAGGAAAAATTGGGAAGAAAATGAAAGAGGCTATGTTTGGAAAAGGTGAGGTTGTATGTACAGAGTATGGCGAAGGATGATTTGGAGGTCAAAAGAGTGGAGCCGAAGAGTAATCAATCGGCTCCACCTGCGGCAGCCATGAAGACTGCCCCTACGGTGTCAAAGCCAGCAGGGGTGGTGGAGAAGAAGATTAGAGGATTCAAAAGCCATAGATGAGAAAGGATCGAGGTTGTTAAACCGAAAGGGCTCGGATACCATGTGAATGTTTGCTGAATCACCACACCTAAATGGTGTGAAAGTTATCTTATTTATAATCAGATACCATGTGAATGTTTGCTGAATCACCACACCTAAATGGTGTGAAAGTTATCTTATTTATAATCAAATAAATTACAAGGATATGGAAATAGTAATAAATGGAAATAACAATAAATGGAAAGATACTACAGTAATAAGGCAAATGTTAGATATTTGCCTTATAATAAAATATCAAATATAATATATATGGTAAACTATAATTTATTACTAAATATCCTTAACAGATATATATATGTTTATCCGGTTGTTCATTTTCCTTATTGTGCATTGAGCAGACAAGCCAAGGATGAACAGTTCAGGTGATGATTTTCAGTAGTAGTATGGTTGGTTTCCCGTGGACGTAGTTCATCACCAGAGAGAGGCTTCTCAGAAGCGAGTCCAGTTTATGTTTGTGATCCTTGTCTTGAAATCTGTGATCACTTAAAGTCGTACTGTTGGTGTTGGAGTTTGCTTGTTTTTTCATATCAGTTTGAATGGTAATTGCCCTCGCTTTGTGTGTTTGAAGGGCAATGTTTATATTGTAATGTTGATGTTATGTAATGTTTATGTGTGATCTATAAAATACCGTACAAGCTTTCAGTTTGTTAACTACTTACTAATTTGCACTTGAAGTCTTCAATTTTATCAAAATTTTAGTTTGGGAGAGAATTTGGTTGGGTAAGGAGTAACACTTTTGTTGCTTGCCCCCGTCCATTAGGTAGCGATATGATGGACGCAGGCAATATAAGAAGGATGTGATGTTTCCGAGATGTTTAGGCGTGGTTGCTTTGCACTTTTTCTTCTTTTGGGGGAAATAAAACATTGCCAACTACGGCAATTGGCAATGGAATTCCCAGAAACAGAGCCTGGTGTGCTTTCCATCCGGCTCCTAAAAGAATCTTGATATTAAGGGGGAGATAGATCTTGATCGTTACCAATCTGCCTGCTAGACTCGCAGGTTATTACATAACATCGCATAGACTCTCTTTCCCTCTACCAATTTGTCCATGAGCATGCTTGTTGGAATTTCCTATAAACTGGGGACCAACAAAATATGGATGCTAACAAATCATTCATAATATTCATGTACCACCTCAGAATCTAACAAATCATTCATAATATTCATGTACCACCTCAGAATCTTGCACAGTTCCAATGATATCCAATTTTCCAGGAGAATCATCAACATACCCCTAGAATGAACATCACAAGATTACAAAAAGAGGCAGCCACCAGAAAAGGCAATAGGAGGGGTTATGAGGCAAACACAATGCAAGTGACAAGGTAGCAACAGAATGGAATCCTAAATTCTCAACTGAGCACATCCCCGAATAGCCCCATGGCATCTAGTCATTGATGTTGCCTGTCGCCATGTTGGCCTCTCACCTCCTGTTGTCAATATGTCAACATCAGATGTTGGCTTGACGTCCCAATTCAAACGGTCGGGACCGATATCTCCTCCAATCACGTAAATTTCATCTCTCAAACTCATCATCGCAAACCCAATTCGTTGGCGAAATTCAGATGCTGAAATAACAACCTTCTTAGCTTCTCCATCGTGCTTGAAAATATGTCCATGGCTCATCACATAGAGTGAACCCTGGACAACGGTCATTGGACCTTGAAGCCAACCATAATCTTCAACTCTCCATCCAGGCCGCGTATTCTCGAAAATTTGCACAGTTGATAATCCCTTGTGCAGGACGTGCAACTTCCCTCCAATCACAACCCCTGTGCAAGCAGAATGGTGAGTGTGGTGTAGGTCAGGCAGAGGAATCCAAGCATCTTTATCAGGATCGTACATTTCTGCCTGAGAAATTGATTTTCTGCAGCTAGTAAAACCACCTGCAACAACAATCTTTCCATCCAAAACACAGCATGCAAACATGGCACGGGGTACAAGCATTGATGCACATTGAGACCACCGGCGTATTACAGGATCATAGGACCACACCTCATTGGTGGCAAAGTTCCTATCTTGATCTCCGGTTAACGGATCAACAGAATCACTGCCACCACCAAGCACAAACAACTTTCCAGCAGTGGACACAGCACCAAAGCGTGCAAGATGCCTAATTTTCGATGGTAATACAGGAATTGTCATCCAAAGGTCTCTGAGGGGGTCATAGAGCTGCCATAGATTCTCAGGTTCAAATGCACATACGCATAATAGATCTTCTGATGATCCAATCTCCTGTCGGACTCTGTATAGTTCAGCACTGTGAATGGCAGCTTGCCAGGAGTGAGAAACAAGCTCCAACTTTGGATAGAGGTGGAAGGGCACACGTGCAAGGCACCTAAGGGCAACCGCGTCTGGGAGGCGGTCAATCAACTCAGACATAATAACCCCTTTTCATCCGTTTCAGACGATTATCCACGACAGGCCGTTTCTTGTTCAGGAAGCAAGTAATCTGAGATTAGAAGAAGAATATTCACACGTTAGACAACCAATTAATAGCTTCTCACAGTTTGATTAAGATGAAAAGAAAAAAAACTTCTAGCATACACACACAATACGGACAAACAGCAGAGCATAACCAGTCTGTCCCATGCTCTAGGAGAAAAGTTACTGATTTTATAGCACATATACACGTAGCTCATTAGAGAGAAATATTCATTATTCCTGACGGCCGGAATGCATTTGGTGATAAAATGGTATTAAATAAACTGATAATTGAATTTTTTAACCCATATAAAGAAATTCAGGACACAACACAGTCATGGATGTACACTTCCAATGTGGTCTATGAACAAAGTCATAATGAGAGGCAATCAATTCAGATGGTAAATAAGATCTGGATGTAAAGGTAGAGAGACTCTATAACTAATCTAGAGATCAAAGTTATCTCTTAACCTATAAAATCTTCACAAAAAAATTGCTGAAAAACTGAACTCGTCCTTGTGCTTTTAGCTACCAAGTCCAAAGAATAACTATAATTTAACAGCAAGGTATCAGATTTTCAATTTAGAAGCGGCAGATTTTACACCTAGATTTAAAACACTTCCATCAGTAGCTCTAATACCATATGGTTTGTATTGTTCATATTTAATATCAATAAACATCTCCCAACTGTGGGAAAATGCTAAACAACTGAGTTGGACACAGGAAAACCTATAAAGGGATGTATCTCTGAAACCTTTGTTTAGGATGCAGCAGATTTAGATAAATGGTGCGGCCCAATGTCCAGGAAGAATTGGGAAACCCATCTCGAGAATGCATAACAAATCAGAACACTCATCATTCAACATTCAACTTGTAACCCCTTCTGCCAAACTCTTCCAAGATAGAAGATTTCTTTGGTTCTAGAAACAAAATCAGACCCCATCATGCAGGAATGCCCAGTTCAGAGTGCAAACTTGAAACTAAAAAAATCCACATTTTAAAGATAAAAGACCTTCCAACAATTTTTTTCAGCTTTTCCTAGTCGTGTCAATTACTAGAGATGACAAAAGCTGGGTAAAATCAGCTCAACATGACATGACATCCACAGTTTTCCTCAAAATCCATTCTGAATGTTCCAAGAAAATCGAGCTTGAATTTTCCGGGTAGGGACTGAGAATGGTAATAGTAGGAGTGCTGATACCACTCAAGGGAGGACTCAAACTAAGATTAAAACTGAAGAAGTAAAAACAGAAGAGAGTATTGACAATAAGCCGTTAAGATAATGCGGTTAGGAGTCTCCATCTATTGTGCATGATCCCGGGCCCCTGCACCCCAACTGCCTGGACAGCTTCAAACTTCCAGGCTATACCTGCATGAATTAAGGTGTCCGGAGTCCAATAAGAAGGAAACTGTATCCAGCAACCTAGCGTATGCAAATTAATTCATACCCAACATCTAATCCCAATACAATCCGGAACCAAGGCAGAAAGGGGGAAGGAAAGAATAAAATGGAAGGCAAATTTGCATCCGAAGTTAGAGCGGGTGATAAAGAAAGAGCGCCAAGATTGAATAAGAAAATGAAGGAAAATTAGGAAAAGGGTGTAAATTATATAGAGTGAGAAGAAGAAGAAGAAGAAGAAGAAGAAGAAGAAGAAGAAGAAGAAGAAGAAGAAGAAAGGAAGAAATGAAAAGAGAGATTAGTAATACCTGGTAGAAATAAGCGAAGAAAGAAGATTGCAGAGATGGAGAACATAGAAGAGTAGCGTCGAAATCTGCGAGGCGAGACGAGGCGTGGGTTGAAAGGGGTTGAAGGAAAAGCGGAGTCAGAAAAACCAAAACCAAAACCATAAACAAAAAAGGGTGCTCATGCTCATTGTTTCTTATTGCTTCAATTTAATTCTCAATTACATCCAACTCCACGCTTACCCTAAACACAAAATCCCTTCCTTCCATTTCCTCCTATCCATCTCGCCCATACTCTGCCCCAAACTTGGCCTACACCTCCTAAATAAACAATATTCTTCCTTTTCTTTTCTATATATATTATTCAATCGATATAATTCACTTCAAATTCGTTTAGATTCATACTAATCTCTCTAAATACGCTACTTCAGATCCATGGAAAAAGCTCCTAAATAAATTACATATTTGATATTAAACAATTAAATAATTTGTGTTCGTTTTTAAAATGGTTTTAAAAATCTTGACTTTTCAACTGGGATTAAATATGGAAATAGTATCTTTAAACCCATACTTAAACAAGAAGAATCTTTAAAGGACACTTTTTTCTTTTTCTTTTTCTTTTTTTTTTTCTAGTGGTTCGATACATATGTGAATATATAATCTTTGCTTGGGGTCGGTCGTTTCATTCAGCTTATAACAGAGCTGTCAGAAGTAGGCCGACAACAGTGAGATCATAAAAGGGCGTCTTGATTAAGCTCCGGCCGCCGCTCTCGGGATTCCTCCTGTTGTTTGGAACATATTTGGAGTCTACTTCCGAAGGAAAAGTAGTCTCCCGTGTTGTTGGAGCTTCACCAAGTTCTTCGTCATCTGAAGGTGAATTCCCCGGCGAACTTATAGGAGATATTGCTGGAGCAGCAGCAGCTCCATTAGCATCTGTGTGTTTTCACATCCAAGTTAGTGTTTATATGATGATGTCCTCCACCACTCTTTGAGTCTGTCTTCGGCATTTTAACTAAAAATTTGTCTCTGCTGTTGTGGAATTCATCATTGCCCATCCGGAAAATATAAAATATTCTAATCATGTAAGGTCATTTTCAATCTTTTTAAATCCTCAACTCCATTCTGCTCACCAAAAACAAAATTGCATATACTTTTTTAACTCAACAATTACGTATTTAATTTTTTTCACTAAAACTTACATCTTTTTTTTTTTTTTTTTTTATTAAAATAACATGCGTAATTGTTGTGTTGCTAATTAATATTTTTTATTCGGACCCTAATTGAGAATTTAAAATATGCTAGAATGTAAAGTTGAGAATTTTGGAAAATTAGAGACGAAATTGAAGAATGATGTAAACAAGAGAGACGAAATTGAAAAATGATGTAAACAAGAGAGACGATTGACTATATTTAGAAGCGCCAGGTGCAAGTTGAAAAGAATAGAATTTGGTTACCATTACAGCGGCTGGGTGGCGGCGTTTGAACACTACAGGCAGCAGGAAGCCCAAGAGCTCGAGTCCGGTTGATAGTGACACCGAGAGAAACCGCAGCGCCACCATTGAGCGCCGAGCAAAGGCACTGTGGCTGCGATTGAACCACGGTGGCAAGGCGCGAGCAGCAAGAAGAAGATGGAGCAGTAGAAGTGGAAGAGCCTCCGCTGCCTGTGATATAAGTTAGGCATGGAGATAAGCTTATCAACGCCGTGGTGCAACCAGCTGACTGGGCCACGCTCTCATGGCTCATACCGAAAGCCACAAGGAGTAGGAAAAGGGCTGACTCAATGCCCATTTGTTGCGGTTGTTTAACTTTTTTTGGGGGTTGATTCCGAAGAAAGATACGCATGAGGTATTTATTATACCCAAACTGGAAACCAAACCCATGGTCATCGAAGATTTAAGTGGGTGGCCGAACTTTCCTCATTCGGTAAACTATTTTGCACCAGTCTGAACCTAGAGTAGAGACTACCTTGTTTACATTTTTTTTTTTTTTTTTAAATTTTATTTTGGTAGAATACATTATTTTGGAACTTCATTCTGAAATGTACAGAGGCTTGTGAGTATTGGGAAGATGTTTGTTTGTTTCTTGGTTTGGAAGAAAGTATGGATTGACACAACTCCCAATCATGACACAGAGGCTTATTTATTGGTATAACCAACATGCCAAACTCCACCTAATGGGAACTCCCATCCAAATTCCAAACCAGCTAAGAGAAGGAGAGACAGATGGAGATTTTCAGGGCACATTCTTTCGCCTTGTTTCAACGTCATTACCGGAAGTAGTAACAACTAACAATGGCTCTTCACAACAAGAATCTCACTGCACCACACCGAGATCGCTCTCAGGTATAAGCATGGACTGTGCCTGTCTTTTACTTACTGCTAATGCGCACCACCCAAAACCCAATTGGTTTTCAGCCCACACAGCTCACAGCCCAAAACCCAATTGGTTTTCGGCCCACACAGCTCACAGCCCAAAACCCAATTGGTTTTCGGCCCACACAGCTCACAGCCCAAAACCCAATTGGTTTTCGGCCCACACAGCTCACAGCCCAAAACCCAATTGGTTTTCAGCCCACACAGCTCACAGCCCAAAACCCAATTGGTTTTCAGCCCAAAACCAAATTGGTTTTTTGTAGGGTTTTGTAATTTTCTAAACATTAATGCCCCAACCTTCCCTCTCTACTCTCTTCTGAGTTTACTGCATCTTCTGCTTCCTCACCATCCATTTCCCCGCCACGAAACATCTTGCCGCTGATCTTGTCAACGCCCCCTTCACATTTCGTCGCCGCCGCCTCCGCCGCCGCCTCCGCCGCTACTAGATTTCGCTGCCACCTGCCCCTCGCCACCAAGTTCAGCTCCATTCTTTCACATCTTCTTGCATTTTTTATTCATGTTTTGTCTTCTCTGACGGTCACTGCTTCTCATTTTTGCTCTTTGCCTTTCTGTATTTTCTCATTCCTTCGATGCCCTTGTATCGTCGATTCGTTGAGCAAAGATACTCGGTTAAAACTGAACTGAGTTGACGGACCACTTAGCCTCAGTAGGAATTGCAGTAGAATGCCAAGTTTGCTTTTTTTTTTTTTTTTTTTTTTTTTTTTAAAAAAT